CCAGCCGACTGAGCCATGTCCTTCGCGCCGCCGCCGCAGCCTGGCGGGGCCGCGCCGCCCCTGCCTGCCCGGCCAGGTACCACGTCGACCGCCGTGCCGACGCCCGGTCCCCCGGTGTCGACGGCCTCCGCCGGCGCCGACACCCGGTCATCGCCGGTGCGCTCGCTGAATGCCGACCGGTTCTCGATGTTCGGCGCCGCCTCCTTCGGGCGCCGCGACTCGATCGGCTCGTCTGGCGCCCCGGCGGCCGCCTCCCCGGCACCGGTGTCCGGATTCACGGCCCCCCCGCCATCGGCGGCCCCGAGCGTCGCCCCGGCGGCCGGATTCACCGCCCCACCGCCCGCCACCAGCTTTGCTCCCCCTCCCACCGAGCCGGGGCCCATCGCCGGGGGTACCCCACCGAGGCGGGCCCCGGCGCCGCCACCCCCCTATGCCGGCCCGGCCGCGGACGCGGCCGAGCCCGCGGCTGCCGGGTCTGCCGCCCCGCCGAAGGCCGCCACCCCCACGAAGGCCGCCCCTGCCCCCAGGGCGGTCGTCCCGCCGCCTGCCACCGCCGGCCCTCCGCCGGCCCAGCCCGCGGCCACCGGCGAGGAGCCCATCCGCCGGTGGCGCATCGTCCAGGAGATCCTCTCCACGGAGACTGCCTTCGTCGAGCAGCTGGCCACCCTCAAGGTTCGCCCGCCCGCCTGCCCGCGGCCCTCTTGCTCCTTGTGCATCCCCCTCCCAACACTGATCCCCCCCCCCCCGGCCCCCTTCCCCTCTCGATCAGGCGCTCTACTATGACCCCATGTGCCTCTCCGGCACCAGCTACAATCCCCCGCCGTCGTACACCGATCCGCTGCCCGGGCTGGACGGCCCGGCCGCGTCCGGGGGAGATGCGGCCGCCGGATCGCCAGCAACCCCCGGGCCAGCGGCGCTCCCCCCGGCGGCCGATGACAATGACGCCAACCGTCCGCCCCCCTGCCCGGTGCTCAGCCTGTCGCAGCACTCGCAGCTTTTTTCCAATCTGATTGCCCTGATCGACGTCAACAAGATGGTGCGCCTCCTTGCACCCTCCAAGCGCTCGCCCCTTGTTTGTGCCCCCCTCCCCTCTTTCTTTCTCCCCGATGCCCCGGGGGGGCCCCCGGCCACATTTGTCTCACGCCCTGTCCGGCCACTCGGCGCCCACACATACACGCACACACACACACACACACACACACACAAACAACAACCAAAGCTCCTCAACTCCTTACGCGAGCGCATCTCCACGCCGGAACTCTGGCAGGCAGCCAACCGCCGAGTGGGGGACATTTTCCTCACCATCGGCCCCTTCTTCAAATTGTACACCACCTACGTCACAAACTACGACCATGCGCAGCGCCTGGCCGTGGAGTTCCGCCGCACGGTCCCCGGCTTCGAGCAATACCACACCTG